TGTTGTTGTTGTTGTTGTTGTTGTTGTTGTTGTTGTTGTTGTTGTTGTTGTTGTTGTTGTTGTTGTTGTTGTTGTTGCAGGTTCCAATTATAAGTTGGTTTTTTTGATTGATTATCATCACTTGTATTAATGTTAGAAGAATGATTAACAAAGAAAGTTTCAAATGGATTTGTATTATTGTTTGGAGAAAGAGATGGGGAAGGAAGAGCAGAGGATTGGGCACTTCTTGCGGTAGAAGGAGTATCGATACCAATATTGGATGTTGGTATGGTATTGTAATGCCTTGGATTTGAAGTGTACGAGGTGGTTGATTGATGTGAAATAGCGGAGGGATTTGAGGTAGAGTCAATTTGATTATTATTATTATTATTTATAAAAGACTTTATTTTAATTCCTAGAATACCATCATCGTCGTCGTCGCCGTCGTTGTTATTTGAAAATTCCGTCCATTGTCTTTGTGAAGTTGAATTGTTTTTTTCTTTTGATAATTTAGCACAAACTTTTTTATGTGGAGGAGATAAAGTCCCATAAACAGGTGTATCTTTGTTTAAATGGTTATCAAGTTCATCGCTATCTGCATTATTATTGTTATTGCTATTTGAAGATTGTTTAAGAGATTCCAATGTTAATGTTAATTCTAAAGGAGATGCAGGTCTTTTACGAGCACCACTTTCTGAATGTTTTGCACCAGTAAGATTGTCGTCATCAAAAGAATGATAAGTAGCAGTCTCAGATGTAGTAGTTGTTGGACCAGATGCTCGCATATTATGCAAAGCCTCTTGAAGCTATAAATATATGCGAGATAAATTTGATATGATATTTAAAAAAAAAATTTATTTGATCACGTATATATATATATATGTGTAATAAATGTATAGAAATTTGTAGACCTTTAACACTTGTTGTTCAGCGTCTTCATGTTCACGAATGTAAGCAGGTTGACCATTTAAATCAAAACAAAACCTTTTTAAGGCCGGAGGTGTTGGAATGTTACCTAAAGGATAATCTTTTGGATCAAGATGTTTTGGTAATGGCGGAGGTTTTAATAGTAAAGGGGGAAAAGAAGTGGCAGCGGTGGTGGTGGTGGTGGTGGTGACCACAGTAGTAGTAATAGTTGGAGCTAGTGATATAGTAGCTACCGTTGGCTGTCTACCCTGTGATTGTTTTGAATTTGAAGTTTTAGAATTATTTGATTTCTTTTTAAGGGGTATTGAAGTAGATACAGGAGTTGAAGGTGAAGAACGAAACCCTTCAGAAGGAATATTAGTAGTATCAAGTTTATAGTTTGGTAAAGTATTGTTGTTATTACTTTTCATAATTTTAAAATAATAATATTGTTGTCCTAGATATATGATAAGTGGTTTTTTTATAATTTTATATTGGCAATTAAAATAAAGCTATATTTATGAAATTTATGTTCATTTTGTCGATCTTTTTATCTCCAAAAATGGATTACATTATTTACTAGTAATTAACTCTTTTCATATTAACTCATTTTTGTAATGTGTTGTATGCGCTTTATCACATTCAAAATCTAAAACCAATCGTTTTATTTTGTTACGTGCTTGAGGTAGTTTATTAACTTTGCTTTAATTCATTAACAAATCGATTGCCTTGAATCCTATAAATTTATACATATGTAAGCAAACTTGATAAGTTTGTTTCGGCCAAAAATTTTCGCCTTTTTTTAAGGTTAGTCAATAATAATAATATGTTACCAGTTCAAATACAATTAATACAATTAACTATTTCTGATATTTTCAAAATAAGTTCTACCAATTCCCAACATATTGAGATAAGTTTCTTGACAAAGAGGTATATTGTGATCCTAGTGATAGAAAGTTCTTTTATTAGATCTAGTTTTCTTTTTAAGGTGTCTACGAGTGCTTATCGAGCCACTGTACATTGTTTTAATCTGGGCCATTAAAATATGTCTTGTTCAGATTTAGAAAGAGCTTGAAAAAAGGATTCCCTTAATTCTGCAAATTATTCCTTGGGAATTCTTGAAGAACAACCACAATTACATCCTTTTTCTGAAAAATCAATCATTATTTTCATTATTGCTTTTCATATACCTATAATCCTATATACATATAATTTTGTGTTCGCTTTGTAGATTTTTATAATTGTTTTAAAGTATATAAATATGATTGTTCAGTAACTCGGAAATACTTATATTACATTGGCTGTTACCTTTTTGGCTTTGTGAAGGAGCCACAAATTACCCAGAATGTATAGATAATATTCTGTTCATATTTTTTATTAGAATAGAATGTATGTAGTAAATAATTTTATTTTATAGAACTGCTGAGGACAGGCGAATATAAATAATAGAATGGAAAATAGTAAAAGGTTATTGAAAAACATGTATTTAAAAATTTTTTTTTCAAAATAATAAAATAATAAAAATTTAATGTGCACCTTCGTAACGGTTTAATAAAAAACTGGTTTTCGGTTGTAAAACGGTAAATCTGTGGATAACTTTGTTACACCAATTTTAATTCTGTCAATATTTTCTACAAAAAAAAGTTTTTTTTTAAAAAACAAAAATTATGGAAAATAGTGATAAAAGCAACAACGAAAACAACAATACTGTTGCTCAAGAAAAAGAACAACAACAATCTCTTGTTGTTTCAACCGCGGTTCATAATAATAATAACATCATTTTACCCACAATCCTTGAAAATGACGATAACGAAAATCTGTTAACCACTATTGTTCAATCACCAACTGAATTTCTTCCGCCTCAAAAAACTCTTACAACCACCATAATAGAACACAGAAATAGTTCTAATAATTTATCACCTAATATCTCCTCTCATACAGTAATAGGTAGCAGTCGCCCAAATACACCTGATACAGATAAAACCGCAGTTGAATCATCAAACAATACTAATGCTAATACTAATAATAACCATAGCAATAATTCATTTGGAGCAACACTTTTAACTACATCACATCCTAATAGTAGATCAAATAGTCCAAGCAGTAATAATAATAATCATAGTAGTAGTATATTGCCTTCTACTTCACACTCACCAAATATACCTGATAATAATAGACTTTCTACACATGATAATGTTTCACCAACTTCATCACAAGGATCACTTACACCTTCAAATACTAGAAGCAGATCAAATACACCAGACATTAATAATAATAATAATTCTAATCATGGTAATGGTAGTAGTGGCACAGCACCCATTATAAGTAAAGTTAGCCAATCGTTACAAACAAATGATGACTTGCCTGAAATGAAACCTATCAAAGAACCACTTACAAGCAGTAATTTTATTCACATAGGAATTCCAGCAGAAATTAATTTTCCAAGTGCAAACATTAAAGAAACAATTGTTGGGGTATTTCATATTTTTAATCCTAAAGATAATCCGGTATCATGGAGCCTTAAACCAGCTTCAGTTGCCACATTTCGGCGATTGGGGACATCAACAACAGCAGCAATCAAATTAGATGAAGAAGTTTTTTCAGTCAGGAGACCATCAGGATACTTGAAAGCAAAAAATGCAGTAAGGGTAGATGTTCATTTTCTTCCAACAGGTGTTGGTACATATATGCAAACATTTGTTTTGGAGGATGCAGCAGATGGTGAAGCAACAAGTGCAGTCGGAATGAAATTTCAAGGAATTGCAACAGAGAATACATTCAGCGCACTTCTACAAAAAAAAAGGTTACCAAGAAAAGAGTTGAAATTTGAAGTTGAAGGAACAGAGTTAAAAATGCCACCAACCAGAATAGGAAGGCAGAGAACAATGGGAATAAAAATCATAAATGTATCAAAAGAATCAATAAGACTTAATTGTAAATGTGAAACTATATCTGGACCTGGAGGAAAATTTGTTTTATCAATTGCTATGAATACTGTAATAGTAAAAGCTGATGGGTTTGCAGTAATTCTTGTACGTTTCCAACCAAAAACATCTGGAGAAGTTAAAGGTGTAGTGACAATACAATCACTTGGAAGTGCAGAGGTTAAGGTGGATGTTATTGCAAAAGGAATCAGAGAAAGTGCTTCTCAATCAGCAACAACAACATCACCACCATCACCAACACTACTACCAACATCACCATCACCATTACAATTGTCATCACCTTCATCACCATCACTACTGTCATCACCACCATCACCACCATCGCCACCATCGCCACCATCACCACATTCACCTTCACCAAATTAAATTTTTTCTTTGATAAAAAACATTTATTGGTTCGATTTATTTATTTATTTTGTGTATATATTATATATTTTTATAGACAATTAATTATGAACATTAATAAAGTTTTTAGAATGCCATTTCTTGTATCACAATAAAAATCATTTATCTTGATTTAATGCACCTTATTTTATATTAATATAGTAATCATCATCTTGATCTTTAATTAAGATATATTTTAAATGTAACTAACTTAATGATCCATCATCATTTTATTATTCCAATTGTTTGTATCAAAAGCAAAATTAAATTATTATCAATCATTGTTTAAAATGAAAAACTTTCTGAATCATCCATCCTTTATTATAGCAAGCCTTAAGATGAAATACTAGTTGGTCTTTTGAAGGATTTGATTCAAACCATTTCCTCACTAATGTCCAGGTGACCAGGTACAAAGTCAGAATAGCAAATAAATAAAAAAAAGAGTAATTTATCAGTACTACAGTCATACCCACATATAAGAACACCATCAGTAAAGCCAAAATGTGTTCTTAATAAGAGGTGTTCTTATTAATGATACAAAATGATCGACATTTAGTCAACATGACAAAATGGAATTTACCATAAAGAGCATATTGACTAAAAGGAAAAAGAGGGAAAAGTTGACGAAAAGAGTTGGTGAGAGAGAAAAATATAATCATTTTCAAAAGAAATTTTTGTAATAATCTGCAATAATACCTTTATTTAAACTTGTTTTACATTTTGTATTTAATATTATTTTAGAAAATTTGGGAAATTTTTTAATTTTTTCCCTTTTTGTCCAAGTCAAACCTGTATGAGCTACGTAAATTACATCTCTTTTGGTTTGCATTTTTTTCTAACTAATGTTTGAGAATTATTATCATCATCTTCATCCAGATTGTTATCAATTTCATTACTTGTAAGACCGTTATTAATGTCAAGTCAGTATCATAACATTCTTGCTCTAAATAATTATTCTATCAGCTTCATTAACTTCACAGCAATCATGAAAATAACTATTTTCCGAATTATGTTCACTTTCAAATTCATCTTCAACATAATTATTATCAGGAAATTCGTAAATTGATTGATTCATCTTGACTATCGTGAGACATTTTAACCTTTTCATCACATTTCTCGCATTTTCCTCTTTTTGTCAACAGGAGAGATCGTCCTATATAAGGAATGGATTTTCACAATTGATTTCAATTTTTTTATACAGTTTAAAATACTTTTACAAGGGTATTACGTAACAGGAGAGACCCTCCTATATAAGGAATGGATTTTCACAATTGATTTCAATTTTTTTTATACAGTTTAAATACTTTTACAAGGGTATTACGTAACAGGAGAGACCACCCTATATAAGGAATGAATTTTCACATTGATTTCAATTTTTTTTTATACAGTTTAAAATACTTTTACAAGGGTATTACGTAGCCCATTCTTGCAATAAATCATGTGTAAATAATTACACAAACTTGAAGTTTTACACTTAGTTGTTATCATATCTTTTGAATCCCTTTGAATCCCACAACTTTCATAACACGATTTACTCAAGGAAAAATTGCCTGAAATTAAACATTGCACAGAATGTAAAACCACTGAAAGGCAATAAATGTAAAGTAGCTGAGAACAACAACTTAGCAAAAGTAACGTGTTGTTTTATGTAACATTTGTAATATGAATTTTGTAGAAAATCTTTTAAAAAGAGAACCTAGGAGAGTAAAAACCACAGATGCGGAAGGGGAAGAGGAAGAGGTAAGTGAAAAGATTGATTTTGAAGATTGCTCCAAGAAATAGAACCAAGCTTTTTGACCAACTCTATTTAGTAGCTTGGCCATTTGAACATAATGAGCAAATAATGGACCATATGAAGAGATTAATGGCGGTGTTCATGTGTTATCTTCTTGTTTTATTAAATAATACAAAAATTAACTCTTTTAAGTTTGACCTTGCATTCTATTTAGACTCGGTAGATACAAGTCTTGGAGCAAATACAACATCAAGAGCAGTAGATCGTAAAAAAAAGAAGCAAGTTGCAGATGAACATGAGAAATATGTAGAGAATATATTCAAGAAATACATTCTTGTTGAATGTTGACGATTATCATAGATTCACGTCCAGAGACAATCTGATGCTATCAGTATATCAAGCACAAAATCAGTATCCTTTAATTACTAAAACTTTGTTATTTCTAAGAAAACTTTTTTTGCAATTACATATATTGTGATTACACTAATTATACTAATTTGAATAATTGTAGCATACTCATGTTATCACAATCATTGTCTACAAAGGTGTCAATCTAAATGTTGATATCTTGGACTATCATCAAGTCGAAATCAAAAAAAAGTCAACACACTAAAAGAAAGTATGATGAAAATATTAAATTTATTGAAAATAATGAATATACAGTTGATGATGATTCGGGTAATGTCGAATCAGGAACAAATGATGTAACAACGATGTAAATTTTATTAGAACATGCAAAAAAAACATTTTTTTGGGTTGTAAATTTGTTTTTATTAAATAAATTTGTTTGATTTTTCATACATTGTTCATTTTTCGTCTCAATCATGTATCTTAAATTTGTTGTGTTTACAATCATTTCATTGACATTCATTATATTAAGGTTATTTTGATTATATCGAGAGATATGGTCAAGAGAAGAGTTAGGAAGAGAGTTATTCTTCAACCAAGTCAAAAACCAACCCTTTAAATACATTTTCGAGTAGTACAATTTAATTTATTAGACTATTTCAAAGGTTTGTCACATGGTTGCTTCCAACTTCTTAAATTTGTTAACGAAACAACTGTTGGTGAAGTGATTGTTGACAAAATGAATCAAACCCATATTTATTTCTACGTTATCAAATTCACGATTTTAATTGGTCAATCAACAAATTGCATGGGGTTAAAATTTTGTGTTCCCTCCTGTTAAGTTTGTGTTCCCAGAACGGTCTCTCCTGTTGTATAATAAAGATTGTGTAGGTCGTGTAACGTGATAATTTCGAATGTCGATCAAAAACAAAATTCCACTATGCTTAATACATTATTGAAAATTAAATCACTAACATGGTAATTAGGAAGATATAGCCTGTTTATTTATTTATTTATCAATATCACATATTGTTATAAACATATGGCTGTTAAATAAGCAGTTTAAGAGGACTAAATTAACATAGCTTTAAGTGGCCAAAGATATACATGAAGTTGAAATAGTTTAATTTCAGGGTTGAAACATGTCATGTTGCATGATTTATTATAATTAATAATTTCAAATTATTTATTAAAGCTCTGAACGGTTTGGTTTGGTTCGGTTTACATTTGACCCAAAATTTCTGACATTCTAAATTCGTTGACTATGCAAAATTATACATAATAACTTCAAAAAAATTATAGTAACTTGTAGCTTAGTTTAGCGGATGTGTTACAAAGTAGAGATGCTGGAAGGATCCTGTTCTAAATACATACATAATCTATAATTTTATACCATGGTAACAATGGTATGGAGATCATGATTGAATTTTATACATAATGCCATGTTTAGATACAGATGGTCAGTTATAGGTCAGATCATTACATATTCATAGATTCACCACAAAAATTTGTATGTTTAAAGTTCCTATTACAAATTCTTATTCAAATTATTCGTTTTATTCAAATTACTTGTTTTATTTGTTTTGTTCATTTTATTCGAATTATTCATTTTTTTCATTTGATTTGTTTTATTTGTTTTATTTGCTTCATTCATTTTGTTTGTTTCAAATAGAAATCCTAAGGATGTTCTATTTTTTCAATTCATATATAAAATTCATTGTCTCCGCAAACTTTTAAACTCTTATGTTTCGGGTTCTAAAATACAATGCCTTTGAGTAATTAAGTTTGTGCCTCCAGAAAAAATTCATTCACTGGTTGTTATTAGATTAGAAAATTAGTGTGTTTGGTTCTAAATAAGCAGAGTGCAAAAATTAGAATACCAGGAACTGCCAAATAGTTTTTAGCCTAAGCTTTGAACAGTTAGGTTCAAACCAAACCAAACCAAAATTCTTCAGTTTGAACCAAACCGTTCGAAGCTTTATTATTTATCTTGAAAACCAGTGATCCAAATTTAACAAATCACAGCACATTAGGATAGACTCATAAAGAGGATTTGAATAATGGCATTTTAATGTTCATAGCATTGATAAATAGCAAGTTATTGTAAGATATGTAACCAAAATATCTCAATAATCAGTCATCAAATTTTATGGATTACGTCTCATTAAGATCTCATTGAGAGAATTCAACCAGTAATTGCTTTATCCAAAACAGCCAGATATTGACTGTTATAACAATTTGATTGATTTTTCTGTATGCTCAGCCTGTTGTATGATGTAATTTCAACCATTTTAGCTTTTAATTTGACTTTTGACCTCTCAGGTTGGAATGTTTCAACTTTTGGGTTTTAATTTTGACTTTATGTATAGCCAAATAAAGTAAAAATAAATAAATAAATAAAGAACTTATAAAATCATTTATTTGCTAAATGGAGGTTGTGGGAAAAAAGGACAATGTTATATTAAACATTTCATTTATTGTTTAGTATTAATTATTGGACATATAATTTTTATCGTCATATATTACAAATAAATTATATTTTTCTATCCCAATATTTATAATATCCTTAAATATCCTAAATCTTGATATTTTTTTAGTGATTTCAATCTGTGAAAATCATCATATCTTCCACTTATTGCAAAAGGTTTGGGCCCTTTCCAATCCTTCATTAGATTATCAAAAGAATTATCACTAACATTAGAAATCTTGTGATTAATAATTATTGACTTTAATTTTTCTGGTAATGTTTGATTTAAAACTGCTAAAATTCTATCACAATTTATTTTATTCCTACTGCATAAACCAGGTTTTTTAAATTCAATACTTTCTAATTTGATACAATTATTGAGTATTTCCATTAACTCCTGATCTACTTCATCTGTATAAACTATTGATAAATCTACTAGATTTCTACAGCATTGTGCAATTGATTGAAATAGCTTGCCCAAAAGTTCACTATCATCAGCAAGAATATCAAGATATTTAAGAGTTTTTCCGTTGATATTAATAAAATCAGACAAGTCAGATAGAGATGGTTGACCATACATATATAAATTCACAGATTCAATATGTGGTAGTGAAAGGTTTTTCAAATATTTTATTTTGATACCAGTAACATATGATACTAATGATAAAGTCTTTAAATTGTATAGAGTTGGTAATATAATATTATCCATATCATATACTTCACTGCTTGAATAACAAATTATTGATTGTGAATGTGAGAGAATTGCTTTTTTGAAATTATCTGATAAAGTTTTATCAGTGTATGAAGAAATGGATAATTGCTTTATTTGCTTTTGTGCTTTAATTAGTTGAGTCAGACTGTCTTGAAATTCATTGTTAATTTTTTTATAATATCCATATTCATATTGAAATTCGTATTCATATTCATATCCATATCCTATTTTTAATGATTGAATAGATTTGCAAACATTTGCTAATTTATAAATAAATTCAATACTACGAGTGAATGTGCAATCTAATTTATTGAGATTCTGAAAGCTATGATAATTATTTACCCAATCCAAATTTATATTATCAGTGCTAAGCTCTTTAATAACTGTTGAATGATCCAAAGTAAAATTTACTAATCTATTTTTTAAAAAATTTAATCCAGAAGTTACCAACTTACTAAAATGATAACCATCAATAAAATAAAACCTAGTACAAAATCTAGCATAATTATATAATGGCGATTTGTCCAAGAGGTCAAAAGTCAATTCAATGTTATTTCTTATTAAGAAGTCCTCATCTTCCTTTCCCAATAAACAATTGATTATTATTTTAGTGCTGCCAAGAGAATAAAATGGATTTCTCCATAAAATTGGAATATTAATATTGTTCCATTGCTTATTTACTAGGATGCAAGAATATAATGTTTCATAATCGTCTTCATTATATTTAAATATTTCACTTAAAAGCTCAAGTGGTAAAATCATCATTGACATTTTTTTTTGTATATAGTAAGAAAATAAATTAGTTTTATTTGTTCACTAGAAATGCTAAAATGGGAAAATCATTTATTTCCCAACCAATAAAATTTAACAACTTTTTATTGTAGGTCTTTCCAATTCTTTATTAGACTATCAGAATTATTAACTGTCACTAAAATTATTAACTTTAAAATTTTTTTTGATCCATCTTAAATTTCATTGGGTGAATTCAACTTTTTACTAATTTATTTAATTAAAGAAATATACACTATCATCAAGGAGGTGAGGGACAAACAGCTATTATTGTTATTATTATATTTAAAAAGTCCATGTTCCTTTTTTTTTACACGATCTTTTCATAAACATTTATGGATAACACAATGAATGGATATATTCGTATCCTTTATTAGGAAAAACACATTGATATACACACATATATGTCTCATATATATGTGTATTCCTCGTCGTCTCCATACCGTACCTTCCGACAAACAGGACAATAGAATATTGAAACGAGCTAATCTCCGGGAAATCTTTGTAAGTTTGGCTTCCTTTATCACTCCTGTAGGTTGCAGTTCCGTTGATATACCCGCCTGTGGAATTGCAACTCGAAATGTAACAGAAGACAGTAAAATTGAGATTAGGTGTAATTATTGAGAAAAAGAAGACGACGACGATGGTGATGTCGATATTTCATAGTTATAAAATAATAAAAAATTATTTTGAAACAAATAAAGGCACTCGACTCACTAATTAATCGAAAAGGTAATGAATGGTTTATTGTTTTCCATGATCCCTATTGAAAAAGTAATAGTTATAATAGTTATTTACTGTTGCTAAGATAATTAATCGAAAAGTAAGTATAATGATTATATCACAGTCTAACGACGACATGTTCACGACGACAAAAAATAGAGATACATGTATATTGATTTTTGTTTCTTGTAAAAAATTCATGTTGGTCCAAAAAGAGAAATCAAGTAAAAGTTAAAATACAAGCAAAAAAAAAACGGGAGGCTATCAGGTGTCTCTGGAAGTGGAAAGGTTTTATGACCTTGGAAAGAAAGAAAAATAAATCCAGCAAGTCAATTTTTACACACCAAAAAAAATATCTCGAAAATAGAAAATTTCTTCCCCAAAAATCAAGTTTAATAAAAGATTGATTTTTAACATCTCCTTAACATCAACATGTCATGTTGACTTATCTCTTCCTTTTACGATCATGTTTTTTTTCAATATTGTACAACGCAACCATTTTCGTGAAACTGCAAATTCCATACTAATACTAATACTAATACTAATAAAATTACCAATAGATTTTGTCGTTTTCTTACATTATTAATAAGTATATATATTAATTATTTTTAATTAAACCCTTTAAAGTCTTGCAATTCTATTTTTTAAAAATCGTAAGGTTTATTTAAATTTTGTTCCGAGTTTACCCGTATTAACAATTAAACTAATACTAATTTATTATTTTCCCCACACAAGATTTATATAAATATAGGCAGCATTTTCATATGACCCTTTCACAGCCAATGTATTAAACGATGTTATTATTATCTTAATATAATTTTGAGGATTTATTATCCATTGGTTTTATTCTAGATTAATAATATAATGTAATTTTGACGAAATGTTTAGGTGCAAAACTATTACGTTAAATTCACTGCCATTAAAATCAAGAATGACGACAAAGTAAAAATTTCAATCATGTCATGTACACACCCACAAATAAAATGCATGATGACAAAATTTTGTTGATGAGAAAAAAAAATTCCCCAGAATGAATTTATATTAATATGTGCAAAATGTTACATGAAAAATATTAAGGAAATCTATTTCAGCGTTGTGTTACACATCAAAAAAGCATGTTTACTAATTTACATGTTTGAGGAATTGGAGAGGAGAGAGGGACTTGAAAATAAGCTCCCTAGTAAGTAATGAAGAAAGGGATGATGATCACATTAAATATTAAAAGAAATTTATTGTTAGGAAGCTTTTCATAATTAAGTTCCCATTTACATGTATGTTTAGGCAAATAAAAACAAAAAAATTTAAATTTCTCAAATGGTTTTTAATGTTTCAATTTTACATGTAATTCTTGGAATCTGTCATTAAAGCCTCAAAAATGCTATATATAAATTTCTCATAATTTTTTTTTTAGCGAACTTTGATACTTACTATAATAATTATCTCAAAAGACAATCAAGATCAGAAGATAATATAAGCGAATACAAGTGATTAAGTTATTGTTCTATTAAGGATTCTTCCATGGTTTGGTGATTTCATGGGCTTCACTATAATTTTCAAGAAAACTCTTTTCAACCTTGGCAACAACATTTTTGTTAATTATCACCTTATTTTTTCACCAAGACATTCCCTTTACATTGCCAAGTGAGCCCGAGAATTGAATTCTGAAAAAGAGGTATAGGAGTAAAAGGCTCTCCTGTTGATACAAATTTTCTTTTTGGGGTGTCTGCTAGTACTTGTTGATCCACTATCCATTGCTTTAAAGTTGTCCCGTCTAAAATATATCTTGCTCTGATTTGGAAAAGTCACGTAATTCTATAGACTGTTCTTTTTGGAACCATTCGTGAACAACCATAATCACAATCTACTTTCGAGACATGAGGAATTTTTTCATATTCAAGCAGAAGTGCCGTATTCGTTTACATATATATAACCCTATTACTATACTTTAATAGTGGATAAGTAAAATTTTTAATTAAATAATTTATTGAAAGGAATTGTTTCTGAACAATCTATCTAAAATTAGCGGGTATCATAATGATGATTCGAATATAGTTAATATATGTGCTATGATCGATCACATCATTAAATATGCAAATCCTTCTATATATAATAATTTTAATTATTAATTTATTTGGATGATGATAATTAATACACAATATTAAATCTTCACGAACATAACATAACAATATTAATATTTAATTATTAATATTAAATCATTCTGACTAAATATAAAAATTTCCCGATCTCGAACCTTTTGGGGGATCCATCCCTAACATCATACATTACTTGGCAGAATTATATTGCAACAACTGTAATTGTATATAACTGCGGTCTATATTAAAAAACGCCAAAAAAAGGTATGACGCCTTTATGATCCAACTTATTTTATTTATATAATAAAAATGACGAAAGTTATTATGCTTTTAATAATATATTACCACGACAAAATTTTGTATAATTCTTTGGTTGGTTGCTTTTTTTATATAGAGAGAATTGAATACGATATAATAAGAGGCTTCTTTAGTAGCTAATATAGTAATAGATTGTCCACTAATATGAAAATTTTTGCTATAAATTGAGAGAAAATTCGCTCAAGCAGAAAATAAAATTTCCAATCAAAATAAATCAAAATCAAAATGAACAAAATCTATATTTTTTTCATCTTAGTCGTCTTCTACGCTACATTAATTACTTCATTTTCCGTTCCAGTTTCATTCAAAGATATTAAAAAAAGAGCGGATGGTAATACTAATGATGATGATGACCATGGCGAGTTTACTCAATGTGCGGGCAGCTTCCCCATCACGTATGCTGACAATAAAGTAACTTACACTCCGAAAATCTGGGAACCTGGAAATACTATCACTGAGCATTTCAAAGGAACGAGCAGTGCTACAATTGAAAATGGAACAATAGCAAAGTGGAACATCTACACGACCAACAAAGATTTTTTGTTTTCATTTATAGTTGACTATTGCACACTTCTCGCTGACGATGATAAGCCATGTCCAGTTCCGCCAGGTTCCTTTGACAAAACAGTAAAATGGAAACTTAATGATGATCCCGATCGTCAACCTAAAGACGTAACTATTGATTATTACTTCAATTCGACACGTAAGTTATCATCCATCATCCCATCTAACATTATTATTATTAATTTGTTTGGGAAATGACTTTCAATTAATATTCATTATTATTAATATTCATTATTCTTGTTTCTTTTAGTTGTCGACCCGTCTCTAACTACTTTGTCGTGTTTAGAAGGCACAATCACCATAAAATACCCTTAAATATCTAAAATCTTTTTTTAATATTTGTATATTTAATTTTTTTTATGAACTTTAATATATTTTTTTATCGATCGTAATTAAATAACAACTATAGTATAATATTAATAACGAAATTTAATGAGCACATAATAAAGGTTTTTTATCTTGAATTTTTGCGTAATCACATAGTAACAGTAAGTAATAACGTAATAAATAATAATTAATCCGAAACTCCGCCAAAATAATACATCTTTCCTTGGCAATAAAAAATTCATGGGACTAAAAATAATTAAAATAATTAAAAAATTATCAATTTAATATTGATGTAGATTTTTTTACGTTCTGCGACATTTAAAAATCACTATCTTTATTTTTTAATATATTCCATCATCTTGATAGTTCCCAAAACTACACTTGAAAACTTATCGGTTATTACTATAACAACCACAGTATATCTTCAAAGTTTTTGGTTTAACATATCTCTAAATCCTTATTTATAAATCCAACACTTTAGTTGTGTGTCCGAACAAATCTAATCGAGTCAGATTTAAAGAGATCTAGTTTTCCAAGTTTTTATTAATTTCAAGATTGATATTATTTAAGACTACTGTTTGTAATTAATGGTAATGATATAATGAATAATGAATAATGCAAGTATAATATAAACAGTATTTATTTGAAAATGTTGTATGTGTGAAATATGTGAAATTTGGATTTATTATTTATTTATATATATATATATATATATATATATTGATTAAAGTATTTTTTTATTACAAGGGTTAAGGTTATGCGATAGACACATCGTAATTCGAAAATAGTCTTTATAGCTTTATTCGTATATGTTGAAATGTTAGAAATCTCGATGAAGGTCTTGGCATTGCTATAAAAAGTATTTCAAAATATTGATAACTCCGCCTCGTATTTAATTTATTATCATTATTATCAGCAAAATTTTTTCGGAAAAATTAAAGTTGATATGCATGCAGAGTTATTTTTAAACAAAAGTAGTTTATATTGCGTAATGTAATAAACATGACGGCAACTTCCATTTTGTAAAGGTTACAAAACTATGAAAAAAAAAATTTTTTCGACTTTTGTTGAATGATTGTTTATGGAGAGAGAAAAAGAAATAAACTTTTGCACATTAATGATCATACCAAATCCGGTAAAATTTTATTGTTTTGACAAATATATCAAGATCGAAGACGATTCGTCATTTAAGGAATTTTTTTGACTGGGCGTTTTTGTTTTTCTTTGTTTTATACCTATTTATTGAATTCATTTTAAAAAATAAACCTGTATTTTCCCATGAAGGAATTATAAAAAATGCTTTCCTTATTACATTTCCTTCTTTTAGAAGGTGATATGGTCTCATTAAGGTTTTTTTGTTATAAATAGAGAGAGAAAAATCATTAAAAACAAAATCGTAAAAATAAAAATAAATAAATTCTTAAAAACGAAACCTCAACATGAACAAATTTAATAACATTTATTTCATCTTCTTATTCTTCTATGCCACGTTAATCGCTTCACTTTCAATTCCACACAGCGATGTCAGAAAAAGAGCTCCTGGTGGTAAATTTACCCAATGTCTTGGCACCTACCCTATTGAAATTACTGGGGCCAAGTACACTCCACTAATATATGCACCCGGACAAATTACAACCATGCGCTTGAAAGGGACAAGCTCTATTGTAATTGAACCAAAAACCATCATGGTTGTGAATGGCTTCCTTAAGAATAAATTAGAATTACAATTTCAACATATAGTCGATTATTGTCAAGTAGTCGTCGAACCCAATAATTTGGCTTGTCCGTTTCCAGCAGGACATTTCGACTTTACCTTCCCATGGATGGTTGAAGTTAAAACTGATCAACCTAAGGCCCAAAATATCGATTATTACGTAAACGTCACTAGTAAGTTACCTAAATTTATTTATATATTAATTGGCTTGGGAACTGACTTTTTACTAATTTTATTATTTTATTATTTAGCTTTAAGTCCAGATAAATCCAAACTTTTATCGTGTATAGAAGGTACAATTACCGTGGCATACCCTTAAATCGCATTTTTTTTTTATATATATATGTAAATTTCTATTAATTTTTTTAAATATGCGATGAAAGATAAATAATTTTATTTTTATTTCTATTCTATCAAAATAATAAATTCCTCATCAAATCTAAATACAAATATACAAGTGTACATATTACAGTATATGAATACTTTTTCTTTGATAATGAATTTTTCGAAAAAATCTTTTTTAATAATACTATATAATATAATCACATTTTTTGAAAAATAATTCACACACTACTAATTTCCTTTCTCCAAAATCCTTAATATTTTTGGAAAGCTTGTGTTTTCATAATCAATCATTGACTCTTTTTGAAATCATCTGACAAAACTAGATCCATCAGTTAATTGTTTAACTTGGTTTTATCGAATATTAAGGCAAAAAATCTTGAGATATTTTTACAACCTTTTGTTAGTTTACTTATCATAGATGTTAGCCGAAATGCAATATTTCAGACTTTCGATATTCTTTTTGTGAATGAAACATAAAGTAACCATGCTATTTGATTTATTATTTAATTTTGGCATTGCAGGTTCGCCAATGATCATTTATTAAGAAGGGTGATTCCAACTAACGTCTATATGTAGTTTACCAAGAATTTATAACTGCTAACCTGTATGATATAAATTGCAAGTTAATTCATAATCAAAATCCACAATGATTAATCATCCATTCACATTCTATTCTATTTATTCCAAGCACTGCTGGATGAACTAAAATAAAATTTACTAGGGTACTTGACATGATTACGATATTATTTACCACAGAGAAATTCTTGTCTTCAACTACATATATACATACCGCCAAATCCCGAATGCACAAATTAAACTTGGGACAAAAGATTTGAAATTTATCGCATCCAAATTATTATGACATCACAAACTATTCAAGTGCACCATATTAAATCCATTTTCATCAGATTCATAATATAATAACAATATCAGTATGTTCACCTTGTAGCATTGTTCACAAGCTCCTACACTCTGCATTCACTCTTTAAATTAACAAAATTTACATATATAATATATATATAATATATGAGTTGTAGTAATTATAGTAATGTAGTATAAATATATACAGTGTATATATATACACACCATTAAAATAGGTAAATTTATATAGATGATGATGAACTTGGAAATTAATATTTCTATTGTAAATTGTTGTAGAACTAATAATAGAAAATGCAAAGTTAAGTAGACAATTAGATCTGGTCCAAGAAGATAATAAATAATATTGATTGAATTATAATCCCAATAATTTGGGATTAATGTTGTTTGACGAAATGTTGCCAAGGTTGTAAAACTATTATGTCAAATTCGCTGCCAAATGACGCTAACAAATTCAAACATTTCTTACATTAATATTAATTACGTGATCAATGATCATGGTAGATAAAATTATTATCAAATGAAAATTTTACGCAAAACTTTTTTATCAAATTACTGTGTAAATAATTATGGAAGTTACTTTACAATAATAATAATCTTTAACTTTATCCGTGACCAACGAAAATTTCATTACTTGAATGGGAACAATGTCTTCACTTGAAAAAGCAGAAGAAAATAAAACTCTGATGGAATAATTAATCTTTAAGAATCATTAATAAACTTTTAAAAATAAAAAATAATAATAAAACGTTGTCTTTATTTTCTTTGTTTGATAAAGAGCAACAAGTATATTTGGTTAGTGCTTTGGTAAAAGGTAATAATTGTGAAGCATTGGTAAAAAGCCACGTTTTATTTGCTTTAGTGAGCAAGCAAAGTTAGGTCTAATGTTGATTGGCTAGTGAATGTTAACAACAGTTAATGAAGTATCGTAATCAGCCAATAAATATAAATGAATGAAATAAATCAATCACAAGTGAATAAAAGGAACTTTTATAGAAGCTCAAGGGCATTGTAAAAGGTTATGTGGTACCATTAAATGCGCTTACAATTCATCTAGATGCAAGTAATCAGAACTAAAGTAAATTCCTAAAATAATTGATTGACAAGCACCGAATTATTGAGTTACTTGCAATTAACTGACAAGAATAGCCCATAATTGTTAATTAACTGAGGTAAAAGATTTATTATTTCAAAACATTGTTATGCTTTATGAAACAAAATAAAGATAATTAAAAAGATAATTATAATAATAAATTTATAGTGAGATTAAATTAGTCATTCATCAATCAATTCTTTCTTTACTATTATTACTAACTATAATCTATATTAATTAATTAATTAATTAATATCGTTAGTAATATTTAACGAGTAGTAATTTCCAATTAATTAATAATGAAATTTTTATTCACATTTTAGAGAAAAGAATCAAAATCAAGATTATTTAACGAACTATCATTACTTGTATAACCTTTTAAGCTTTTAGATTTAGCAATCTCTTCATCTAATATTCTACTTGTGTGATATGCATCTGGATGTGATTTGTGTACTTGTTGCAAAGCACTACTACCACCACTACTATTATTATCATTATTAATATCAATTTCATGTTTTTTGATTTTAGAAAATTTAAATAATCTTTTTATTAAACTATTATTGCTACTATTATTTTTTAAACTTTTATTTTTAAAAATTTCGTTTCGTTTATTATCAGCAAATATCAAAAGCTCTTCAATAGTTGGTCTTTTTGATGAATCCACATCCCAACACCTCTGCATCATTTGCACATAATCACCAGGCATTTCAGGTAATATTGGTGGTCGTAAACCTTCACATATATCAAAAATCAAACGATGATTGTGAGCTCTATTGTCAAATGGTGGATGACCTGCAAATATTTCCCACATTAACATCCCAACACTATAGATATCAGTCTTTTTTGTGTTCTTTGTGTTATTACCTCTAAGTAGCTCAGGCGCAATATATGATACAATTCCATAGACTTTATTTGATGACTTTTCATCAACTGGTCCACATAATCCTAAATCTGTAATATAACAACCACCTGCATCCATAAGTATATTACCACTATGTAAATCACAATGGATTAAATCTTTTCCATGTATCTGATATAATGCAATACATAAATAATAAAAAATTGTAATTCTGTCTTTTAATGTTAAATTTAAATGATTTTGTTGCAAATAACCCCTTAAATTTCCTTCTGGATGATAATTTAAAACTATTGCATAATTTCCATTATCTGGGAATTTAGTTATACCATAGCACCTAACAATCATATGTGATTTAATTTCAAAATAATTCATCGCCTATTGAATATAAAATCAATTAGTATCATATAATAATAATACAGTATTGTTTTAAATGACAACTACCAACCTCATCAAAAAAGGCTTTTCCTGGATTACTTGAATCATTTAAACTTTTTAATACTACATATTGTGCTCCTAAATAACTAAACTCCTTTTTATTTTCGTCATAATCAACTATTTGTCCTTTTTTCCATGTAGCAGCATAAATTGAACTAAATCCACCTTCAGTCAACTTTGTTACTTTTTCAAATTGCTCAAAAGATATCCATTCTAAAATATAGTCTGGCAGGGATGATTTCATTTGACATTGTTGAATAAAATCATCAATTATGTTATTTCCAGATGTCCAAGTGGTGAAAAGACTCTGTAATTGTAAACTAATGCAACCTTCACAGAACCTATCAGTGTATCTTGTCAATTTACAATTGTTACATTCTTTTGGTTGGTCTTCTTTATATGTTGCATTGTTTAATTCAAAATAATAAATAAACTTTTCTTTACAAAATTCTTTTTCATTTTCAGAAAGCTCCTTGTTTTTATTGACTAATGAAAAAAAATATTCTTTTCTACTTTCTCTATCAGAATTAACTGCTGCATTATTAAGTATTTCATTATAAATTTTATATACAAATTCCTTTCTTTCCTCTGATAATAGTGACAATAGTTTAGCATGTGACATTGTATAATTTAACTTGGTGTCTTTAGAGTTTGAGAACAACGGTTACATTATTTGCGGAATTGAATGGCGTGTAACAACAATTTTCTCGTAATATTATTCGTACACTTACTTCCAGATAATAATGGTTTTTTGAGAGTTGTTTATTAAATTTCTCCAAGATTAATTGATATAAATCTTGAAAAATTGAAAAATGAAAATTGCACTATTTAAAGAACAACTTCACTTTACCAACTCTAGTGAATTTCAGCATTCTTTGTTTTCTATTTTAAATCTTCCAAATTAAAAACTTACAAAAATCTGTATCGAAACCTGTCTTATGTGCTATGTAAAATACCAACATTGGTCAGCCTATGTTGCTTCAAAGTCAGATACTAAATGCAGCTCAATCACTTTTTATTTTATTAATAATACTATTATGTATTACTATTAAGTGTCATATGTATGTAAAAGTTGCTCTACATACACTAATAATTGACCTGCATATGTGTATTTCAGACTCAGGCACTAAATACAATTCAAACACGTTTGATTTTATGAAATTAAACAAGAAATACTAGTAATAGTTTTAATTTGTAAAAAAAGAAGACAGAAAAATATTTAATTAGTTAGACTCCACTTTCATTCTTCGACAGGTCGCTTAACAATTTAGAGTGACCAATATCTGATATCCAACAATCATTCGTCAATTAAAGATACGAAAGGATCATTACAATATTAGTCCATTTTTGGTTTTTTTGATTTGACCAAACGAAAGTTCAAGTATAGTTGCATTTTATAAAAAGAAGCAGATCAAATACACCAGACATTAATAATAATAATAATTCTAATCATGGTAATGGTAGTAGTGGCACAGCACCCATTATAAGTAAAGTTAGCCAATCGTTACAAACAAATGATGACTTGCCTGAAATGAAACCTATCAAAGAACCACTTACAAGCAGTAATTTTATTCACATAGGAATTCCAGCAGAAATTAATTTTCCAAGTGCAAACATTAAAGAAACAATTGTTGGGGTATTTCATATTTTTAATCCTAAAGATAATCCGGTATCATGGAGCCTTAAACCAGCTTCAGTTGCCACATTTCGGCGATTGGGGACATCAACAACAGCAGCAATCAAATTAGATGAAGAAGTTTTTTCAGTCAGGAGACCATCAGGATACTTGAAAGCAAAAAATGCAGTAAGGGTAGATGTTCATTTTCTTCCAACAGGTGTTGGTACATATATGCAAACATTTGTTTTGGAGGATGCAGCAGATGGTGAAGCAACAAGTGCAGTCGGAATGAAATTTCAAGGAATTGCAACAGAGAATACATTCAGCGCACTTCTACAAAAAAAAAGGTTACCAAGAAAAGAGTTGAAATTTGAAGTTGAAGGAACAGAGTTAAAAATGCCACCAACCAGAATAGGAAGGCAGAGAACAATGGGAATAAAAATCATAAATGTATCAAAAGAATCAATAAGACTTAATTGTAAATGTGAAACTATATCTGGACCTGGAGGAAAATTTGTTTTATCAATTGCTATGAATACTGTAATAGTAAAAGCTGATGGGTTTGCAGTAATTCTTGTACGTTTCCAACCAAAAACATCTGGAGAAGTTAAAGGTGTAGTGACAATACAATCACTTGGAAGTGCAGAGGTTAAGGTGGATGTTATTGCAAAAGGAATCAGAGAAAGTGCTTCTCAATCAGCAACAACAACATCACCACCATCACCAACACTACTACCAACATCACCATCACCATTACAATTGTCATCACCTTCATCACCATCACTACTGTCATCACCACCATCACCACCATCGCCACCATCGCCACCATCACCACATTCACCTTCACCAAATTAAATTTTTTCTTTGATAAAAAACATTTATTGGTTCGATTTATTTATTTATTTTGTGTATATATTATATATTTTTATAGACAATTAATTATGAACATTAATAAAGTTTTTAGAATGCCATTTCTTGTATCACAATAAAAATCATTTATCTTGATTTAATGCACCTTATTTTATATTAATATAGTAATCATCATCTTGATCTTTAATTAAGATATATTTTAAATGTAACTAACTTAATGATCCATCATCATTTTATTATTCCAATTGTTTGTATCAAAAGCAAAATTAAATTATTATCAATCATTGTTTAAAATGAAAAACTTTCTGAATCATCCATCCTTTATTATAGCAAGCCTTAAGATGAAATACTAGTTGGTCTTTTGAAGGATTTGATTCAAACCATTTCCTCACTAATGTCCAGGTGACCAGGTACAAAGTCAGAATAGCAAATAAATAAAAAAAAGAGTAATTTATCAGTACTACAGTCATACCCACATATAAGAACACCATCAGTAAAGCCAAAATGTGTTCTTAATAAGAGGTGTTCTTATTAATGATACAAAATGATCGACATTTAGTCAACATGACAAAATGGAATTTACCATAAAGAGCATATTGACTAAAAGGAAAAAGAGGGAAAAGTTGACGAAAAGAGTTGGTGAGAGAGAAAAATATAATCATTTTCAAAAGAAATTTTTGTAATAATCTGCAATAATACCTTTATTTAAACTTGTTTTACATTTTGTATTTAATATTATTTTAGAAAATTTGGGAAATTTTTTAATTTTTTCCCTTTTTGTCCAAGTCAAACCTGTATGAGCTACGTAAATTACATCTCTTTTGGTTTGCATTTTTTTCTAACTAATGTTTGAGAATTATTATCATCATCTTCATCCAGATTGTTATCAATTTCATTACTTGTAAGACCGTTATTAATGTCAAGTCAGTATCATAACATTCTTGCTCTAAATAATTATTCTATCAGCTTCATTAACTTCACAGCAATCATGAAAATAACTATTTTCCGAATTATGTTCACTTTCAAATTCATCTTCAACATAATTATTATCAGGAAATTCGTAAATTGATTGATTCATCTTGACTATCGTGAGACATTTTAACCTTTTCATCACATTTCTCGCATTTTCCTCTTTTTGTCAACAGGAGAGATCGTCCTATATAAGGAATGGATTTTCACAATTGATTTCAATTTTTTTATACAGTTTAAAATACTTTTACAAGGGTATTACGTAACAGGAGAGACCCTCCTATATAAGGAATGGATTTTCACAATTGATTTCAATTTTTTTTATACAGTTTAAATACTTTTACAAGGGTATTACGTAACAGGAGAGACCACCCTATATAAGGAATGAATTTTCACATTGATTTCAATTTTTTTTTATACAGTTTAAAATACTTTTACAAGGGTATTACGTAGCCCATTCTTGCAATAAATCATGTGTAAATAATTACACAAATTTGAAGCTTTACAACTTTGTTCTTTTGAATCCCTTTGAATCCCACAACTTTCATAATACAATTTACTCAAAGAAAAAATGTCTGAAATTAAACATTGCACAGAATGTAAAACCATTAAATCAGCTAAATTTCGTCAACTGAAAGGCAATAAATGGAAAGAGGCTGAGAAGAAGCAGATCAAATACACCAGACATTAATAATAATAATAATTCTAATCATGGTAATGGTAGTAGTGGCACAGCACCCATTATAAGTAAAGTTAGCCAATCGTTACAAACAAATGATGACTTGCCTGAAATGAAACCTATCAAAGAACCACTTACAAGCAGTAATTTTATTCACATAGGAATTCCAGCAGAAATTAATTTTCCAAGTGCAAACATTAAAGAAACAATTGTTGGGGTATTTCATATTTTTAATCCTAAAGATAATCCGGTATCATGGAGCCTTAAACCAGCTTCAGTTGCCACATTTCGGCGATTGGGGACATCAACAACAGCAGCAATCAAATTAGATGAAGAAGTTTTTTCAGTCAGGAGACCATCAGGATACTTGAAAGCAAAAAATGCAGTAAGGGTAGATGTTCATTTTCTTCCAACAGGTGTTGGTACATATATGCAAACATTTGTTTTGGAGGATGCAGCAGATGGTGAAGCAACAAGTGCAGTCGGAATGAAATTTCAAGGAATTGCAACAGAGAATACATTCAGCGCACTTCTACAAAAAAAAAGGTTACCAAGAAAAGAGTTGAAATTTGAAGTTGAAGGAACAGAGTTAAAAATGCCACCAACCAGAATAGGAAGGCAGAGAACAATGGGAATAAAAATCATAAATGTATCAAAAGAATCAATAAGACTTAATTGTAAATGTGAAACTATATCTGGACCTGGAGGAAAATTTGTTTTATCAATTGCTATGAATACTGTAATAGTAAAAGCTGATGGGTTTGCAGTAATTCTTGTACGTTTCCAACCAAAAACATCTGGAGAAGTTAAAGGTGTAGTGACAATACAATCACTTGGAAGTGCAGAGGTTAAGGTGGATGTTATTGCAAAAGGAATCAGAGAAAGTGCTTCTCAATCAGCAACAACAACATCACCACCATCACCAACACTACTACCAACATCACCATCACCATTACAATTGTCATCACCTTCATCACCATCACTACTGTCATCACCACCATCACCACCATCGCCACCATCGCCACCATCACCACATTCACCTTCACCAAATTAAATTTTTTCTTTGATAAAAAACATTTATTGGTTCGATTTATTTATTTATTTTGTGTATATATTATATATTTTTATAGACAATTAATTATGAACATTAATAAAGTTTTTAGAATGCCATTTCTTGTATCACAATAAAAATCATTTATCTTGATTTAATGCACCTTATTTTATATTAATATAGTAATCATCATCTTGATCTTTAATTAAGATATATTTTAAATGTAACTAACTTAATGATCCATCATCATTTTATTATTCCAATTGTTTGTATCAAAAGCAAAATTAAATTATTATCAATCATTGTTTAAAATGAAAAACTTTCTGAATCATCCATCCTTTATTATAGCAAGCCTTAAGATGAAATACTAGTTGGTCTTTTGAAGGATTTGATTCAAACCATTTCCTCACTAATGTCCAGGTGACCAGGTACAAAGTCAGAATAGCAAATAAATAAAAAAAAGAGTAATTTATCAGTACTACAGTCATACCCACATATAAGAACACCATCAGTAAAGCCAAAATGTGTTCTTAATAAGAGGTGTTCTTATTAATGATACAAAATGATCGACATTTAGTCAACATGACAAAATGGAATTTACCATAAAGAGCATATTGACTAAAAGGAAAAAGAGGGAAAAGTTGACGAAAAGAGTTGGTGAGAGAGAAAAATATAATCATTTTCAAAAGAAATTTTTGTAATAATCTGCAATAATACCTTTATTTAAACTTGTTTTACATTTTGTATTTAATATTATTTTAGAAAATTTGGGAAATTTTTTAATTTTTTCCCTTTTTGTCCAAGTCAAACCTGTATGAGCTACGTAAATTACATCTCTTTTGGTTTGCATTTTTTTCTAACTAATGTTTGAGAATTATTATCATCATCTTCATCCAGATTGTTATCAATTTCATTACTTGTAAGACCGTTATTAATGTCAAGTCAGTATCATAACATTCTTGCTCTAAATAATTATTCTATCAGCTTCATTAACTTCACAGCAATCATGAAAATAACTATTTTCCGAATTATGTTCACTTTCAAATTCATCTTCAACATAATTATTATCAGGAAATTCGTAAATTGATTGATTCATCTTGACTATCGTGAGACATTTTAACCTTATCATTGAAATATTTAAACAACAAATAGATATAAATGGATAAATAAAGGTTGGTCATTAGAACAGAGAATTGATTATTTTGAAGAAAAATGGGCTTATTTCGCAGGATTTGGTATTTATCAAAATTTAATCTCTTTAAAATTCTTTTTAATTAATATTAATTTATTAATTTATTATTAGGTTTTACTTTTACTTTTATAACATTTTTTGTAGATGTGTTTTTTAGTACTGGAATATTTGCTTTATTATTTCCTATTGTAAGTAAATTCATCTATAATAATAGATAATATTAATGCATTAACAAATATTATATTATATTTAGTATATAATAATGGCCCATAATGCTTCACCAATGCCAAGGAATAACAAGAAATTAAAATTCTCTCCACTAATTCCTTATAAACTTCCAATATTTTGGGTAGCAAAAAAGATGAATGATAAACTTATAACCATTTTTCATAATAGAACAATTAAATAACAGTATATATTAAATTATAATTATAATTATATATAACCAAACAAACAAATGAACAATCAACATTTTAAATATAAAATTTTATCTTCCTTTCTCCTTCAAATATACAAATATACGAACATTAAAATAAAACAATAAATAAAATGATTAACAGTACTAAAATTTAAATAGTTGAGAAAAACTAAAATAAATTACTAAATCGATTAACAATTTACATATACATGTTATTTGTAAGGCCAATCCATTTAATATTATGGAAAACATGCATAACCTGTATAAATTTATTAGACTACTCATCAATGCACCATTTGATCACGAAAGTCTATTTTATTAAAAATAAATCATGAAAACACAATAGGATACTAGGATGCTCTGTATCCAGCTCAGGAAAAGCCTTCATGTGTGGCCAACTTTATGAAACCGGCCATGCCAGCTAGATCACTATGTGCCAAATTTGGGCAGTGTCCCCACAACGGGCTCTCAAGTGTGTCCTGATGACATGAATAGGCCAGATGGTATATAACACATTGTGTGTGGTTTGACAACAGAAATAGGCCGTCATTGTCATCCTGACATATAATGCTTCATATGTGGCTTGACAATGGAAATAGGACTTGTTCATATGTACAAGTTACAAGCATTGTTTCAAATACAGACAGGATTTTTCCAAATTTGGAAATCAATTCTAGAAAAATTGGAAACTCTTTTGTTGATCAATTCATATATGTTTCATAGGGGCATGCTGCAACAAGACCAGACAAAGTGAACATTTGTATTAACAAGAATTTCAGGGATCATGATTTAGTTATTATCATCACAATTAATTTTATAATGTCACATTTGTTTTTTTCTTAAGCAATATATAGAATTTCCTCTATATAAAAACAATTAATATGAAGTTAATCTATATTAGGTCTATCATGGAACCAAAGAATTCCATTAGAAGTATTTTAAAAAAGGAACAAATTGCTCCTTATGTTTTCAAAATAAATAATACTCAGAAACTGGAAACTTATCTAAGAAAAGAAAGGATTACCTATGAAATTTATCAAGAGGAAAAAAAATCATAAACACTAAGAAAAAAAGCAGAATGAAGGTGTGCTATTACCCAACAAAAAACAGAAATACTTATAAGGAAAATAATATGCAATAAATTTTTTTTCTTTTTAGTCCTTTTAGTAACATAGCTTATAGCAATTATTAAACATAAGATTAAAGTTATACCTACTGTTCATAACCAAATAGATTTACTATCAAACATTTTGAATTTTTTTCCAATATGGATTACACATGCCCTACACAAAGTTTAAATACTCAAATGCACTTAAAATATACATCATATACTTAAAATATACTTAAAATATACTGATGGAAGTTGTAGTCATAAAGA